ATAGATAGATAGATAGATAGATAGATAGATAGATAGATAGATAGATACTGTAGATAGATATGATAGATTAGATAGATACATAGATAGATAGATACTGTAGATAGATAGATACGATAGATAGAGAGATACTGTAGATAGATACTGTAGATCAATAGATAGATAGATAGATGCTGTAGATAGATACTGTAGATCAATTGATAGATAAATAGATATGATAGATTAGATAGATAGATACATAGATAGATAGATACTGTAGATCAATAGATAGATAGATAGATAGATAGATAGATAGATAGATAGATAGATAGATAGATAGATAGATAGATAGATAGTAGACAGCCATAGGGATAGATAGCAATTAGCACTTAGACTTCACAGTGCTTTTATAGCCCTCTCTAAGTGGTTTACAGAGCCAGCCTCTTTCCCCCAACAATCTGTGTCCTCATTTTATCCACCTTGGAGGGATGAAAGGATGAGTCAACCTTGAGCCAGTCAGGATTGATCTGCTGGCAATCGGGAGAATTAGCCCGCATTCTAACCACTGCACCACCACAGCTCTGTTCATTCCAAAAGATGTCGACTGATTCCAAAATGCAAACTTTAAATAGGTGCAAAACCTGTTTGTGCTCCAACCTCAGGGGAAGAAATGACTTATTTTTGTGGCCTTCTAACCCGCCCCCACCATTCCTTCCCAACCAATCATACCTCTTGCCTGATGAACTCTGTTGCAGCCACAGGATGTGAGCCACGTTTCCAGATGCTTTGTGGGAATCCGGGCATGTCTCCACCTTGTGGGAAAGGAGTTCTACCTCTAGATAAGGCTCGGCATTGAAGTTCTGTGCCAAGATGCAGTCTTCATTTGCGCTGGGCCCTGACAGAAACAGAGAAATGAGGAGCCTTTCCGAAAAGTTGTGATTTCTCCATTATCTTCATGGAAGGGAAGGGAAGGGAAGGGAAGGGAAGGGAAGGAAGGAAGGAAGGAAGGAAGGAAGGAAGGAAGGAAGGAAGGAAGGAAGGAAGGAAGGAAGGAAGGTAGGTGATAGGTAGGTAGGTAGTGATAGGTGATTGTAGATAAAGATGGTAATAGAGATGGTGATAGGTGACAATAGATATAAATGACATGGTTGGTAGGTAGGTAGATAGATACATAGATAGAGATAGACAGAAGAGAGATAGATCGATAGATATAGATACATAGATAGAAGAGATAGCTAGAGATAGATAGATAGATAGATAGATAGATAGATAGATAGATAGATAGATAGATAGATAGA